ATACATAAACAATAAAATAGTGGCGTTTTCATATTAGGCCTACTTTCACTTGCAATCATTCAAAACGGCGTGTCTATAACATTAAAATAATCTTGATGTTAGAAAAATACGTAGGTTCCCAGTTTGCCCCTGAAGAAGAAAGGTCCACCTTTCGAAAGCGCTCGGGTTATAGGATTTTTATTCATTACATTAAAATAATCGATGTTCCCAATGTTTTGTGGAATAAAATATATAAAAAAGCACAGAACATGTACCTCGTTAGACGCTTGTTTATACTGGTGTTATGACCTTCTCACCACCGAGGAAAATAAAGGCTTGGACAATAGAGTCCTTTCACCCATGTATCCTTCCGCTCCGAAAACAAGGACGTGATGAATCAGCTGTCCAACTTTCCAACCGTGTCTCCAGTGACGTGTTAAACGGCACACGTGGTCTAGGTCGCTGACTGAGGAAGTTTAGAGTGTGTTCGTCATGTGCCGGGTTCGGGATAACTGACGCACAATTCATTCAATACGATCATAAAATCTTCTTTTTCCTCATATGGCCAGGTGGTTAGGGCTTCGAATCCTCCTCACTAAACGCGCTCGCCCTTTCAGCCGCGGGGGCGTTGTAGCATGACGGTCAATCCCACTATTCGTTGGTAAAAGAGTAGCTCAAGAGTTGACGGCGGGTGGTGATGACTTGCTGCCTTTCCTCTAGTCTTTCACTGCTAAATTAGGGGCGGCTAGCACAGATAACCAACGTGTGGCTTTGCGCGAAATTCAAAACAAACCAAAACCAATCTTCGTCATTTTCGCATGCTTCTAGTCAATGTTGTTTGTGGAACTGTTTGTTTTAGCTACATAACAAGGCTAATCACATTATGGCCACGGTGGAAACTCGATCCCCGGATGTTAGCGTCGTAAGTTCGCACACCTACCGGCTGACCATTTTTAGAACTGTATTTGTGTTTATGATAAGGCTACTAAGGTTATATGCCACCATATCTAAACTATTGACCAGAGGGAAGGCAACCAGTCAGCAGCACGTTACCATCCACCACCCACGTCAAGGCATTGACTGCCATACTTATAACCCACTAACAGCCTAAAGAGCGGGGAATAATTTGTGGTATTTCACGGATTAGAACTCTGCTCGCCAGCTCCGAAATCCAAAACTCTACCATAACGCCATATTTATGTGTGTGTGTGTGTGTGTGTGTGTATACTGTGCAGTAGATTTACTCGTAATTTTTTATATCGAACACTAACTTTAGTGTTAAGGTTGAGACGATGACTAAACACGGGCTATTGAACTTTTTTGTCATCCATTGAGGACTAATTCGCATCGATGCTAGAAATGTACATCAGACCTTGATTAAATTCATAAGCATGATTAAACATCTTAGTGCACTTCTAGGATGACGGCCGAAAACACCGTTAACATTGAAAGTAATTGAGTGTTGGTTTAATTCAGTTTGATAATCTTTAAAAATATTTAACCAGTTAATATTATGTTCGTATCGTTATTATATTTCATCTGACTTCAAACTTTTATATTAAGCTGTTTACATTTAAGGCTAAGCAATTGCCTTTGCTTGAAAAATGCGTATTAAAGTTTTGAATCCAAAATATTCACTTGTTTTGACTTTCAGGCTTCACTAAAATCTTACAAAATATAGCCACATTTATTTATTTTGATAAAATCAAGTTATAGATAATGGTACTTGTCTTTATACCCCCCTCCCCGTGACTCAGCGGTACGAGTCATGTCTCCCGGTTAGAATCACAGGAATTATTTCCAACCGGAGGGGGGTTGTATTTCGATCGTGTAAATCGGACATCACCTAACTATCATAGAGCGACAAGCAAACGTTCGACGCATCTGAATACCAAGGAAATTTAAATGAATTCTGCACATAACATCAAACTTTTTACTGGATGAATACATATCCGTTAACATACTGAGTGCTGGACAATACAGGGTAGCATTAAGTAGGAGTAGAGAAAAACAAATATTTTTTTCCTAAAAATTGTTATGTTGAATCCTCCCGTCACCGAACGTGCTCACCCTTTCAGGCGTGGGGACGTTGTATAATGTGACGGCCAATCCCACTTTTCGTTGGTAAAAGAGTAGCCCAAAAGTTGGCTAGCAAAATATTAAGGACATAATACAGAAAATGCTCTATAGACCAAACGGTTTGTGAAAGGTTTAGTGAAGGATATTGTTCACAAATAACAAAACTGGTGACTGTATCAGGCTTAGTTTTAAACGTTTAGAAATCTAGAACGAACCTAAATACCAGTTGATGCTCACAATGAGCTCTGACAGCACGCCATCTAGCAGTTTCCTGTTCATTGTACTTCTGATGCTACATCCTTATTGTTGAGGAGAATCATAGATGCAGGTAAATTGTTTGTCACACAAACAATACCGAATTGATTTTAAAACATCATGTAGTTTTCCACGTACCGCTTTCCCTTTATTCCACCTGAGCTAATCTTTTCGTATGTACAGTATTCTAAAGCTCCAAACTCTTGATAAATATTTCTATCACGTGGGGTGTAGATAACCTGTTGCATCGTTTTTGATGACCCACCTTTCATCTTGGAGTTTTACGTTGTTTATGATGAATCATTTTCCAGGTTTCAAGAAGAATTAAGGCCGATGATTTCCACAAGGTTTATCTAATTAAGGCTGATGATTTCCACAAAGTTTATCTAATTAAGGCCGATGATTTCCACAAGGTTTATCTAGTTAAGGCCAATGATTTCCACAAGGTTTATCTGACTAAGGTCGATGATTTCCACAAGGTTTATCTAATTAAGGCCAATGATTTCCACAAGGTTTATCTAATTAAGGCTGATGATTTCCACAAGGTTTATCTAGTTAAGGCTGATGATTTCCACAAGGTTTATCTAATTAAGGCCGATGATTTCCACAAGGTTTATCTAATTAAGGCTGGTTTTTACAAGGTTTATCTAACTAAGGCTGATGATTTCCACAAGGTTTATATAATTAAGGCTGGTTTTTACAAGGTTTATCTAATTAAGGCTGGTTTTTACAAGGTTTATCTAATTAAGGCTGGTTTTTACAAGGTTTATCTAATTAAGGCCGGTGATTTCGTTACAAAATATATTTCTCTCTCTCTTTTCAAGCAACATACAATTTCTTTCGCGTAGTTCTTGAATTGGACACTAGGATAGGAGAAAAACTTTGTCGTTAAGCGCAAAGCTACATAATGGGACTATCTGTGTTGTCCCGACCACTGGTATCAAAACCCGTTTTTTAACCTTGAGCCACTGTGTATGTGAGTGGAGGGGTTGTTTAAGAAAAACTGAAAACAAAATTATGAAAGTTTAATATCCACCTCTGAAAATTTTGTTTTTTCATTCTTTTTGAAATTTTCTTGGATAATACATGCTCAAGGTCGTTCATACTTATTCAAACTTGCTTTGAATCGTTTCTCTTTATACACATGCTCACCTGAAAGGTCAGTGATTCAGCAACAATGGATCACCGTTCAGCCAGTAAGGGTAGCCGTCCTGACGTATGTCGTAGGCCTTATCAATTAAAACAAACTGGTCTAGTAATGGATTGAAGAGTGACTTAATGTAGTGCAGCTGTTGGGTGTAGTGATGTCATTCATATTTTAACTTAATGTAAACAAATTAGTATTCTCCTCAATTCTCTCTCTCTGTATGTGTGTGGAAGAATAGTAAACATACATAATACAACTTAATTAAAGTAGTACAATGGGTTTGACCACATAAAATTGGTTAAGGCCGCAACTCTATTCAAGGGTACATAAACTAAAACTATGAGACGGTAGTCAAGGTTACATAAACCATAACAGTGAGATGGTAGTCAAGGTAACATAAGTTAAAATTGTGGGACGGTAGTCTTGGTTACGTAAACTAGAACACTGAGACGGTAGTCTAGGTTACGTAAACTAGAACACTGAGACGGTAGTCTAGGTTACGTAAACTAGAACACTGAGACGGTAGTCTAGGTTACGTAAACTAGAACAGTTAGGTGAAGTTATCAACGGACATGAACCATTTCTGTCAGGACAATGAGAATAATAGTATTTATATGTTCACCAAGTTTAATCAACATTTGATTATTTTGACTGAATTATAGAGCAAAAATAGTGTGACAAATCGACCCCCGTGGTAACAGCTAGAGATTTTTTAGATTTTTGTGACCTTGACCCTCCAAAAACTAATCACTTCAAAGTTGGGTCATTGTCCAAATCTATACCAACTTTAGTCCAAATTCATTCGGCCGTTTTTGAGAAATATTGCTGACAAACACAAACACACACACACACACACACACACAGGGGTTAAAAAGAAAAAATCCCAGTAGACTTGAAGTTGAGTTGATTAAGCACAGTTATTTATGAAACAAACGTGGCTAACAGTGGGAATCGTTTACTGTTGTCAGCAAAAAAAGTAAGAATTGTGAATTTAATTGAGTTATATTCATTACCAGTTTGGTCCTTATTTTCGCTCTAAGTTAGCAAGTTGATATTAATAAAAATAAAACTTTTTAAGATAAGACACGGAAAGTAACTATTTGAAACTATCATTAATAAAATTACCAACACTGCTATCTAAACAAAAATACAGAGGGTTTAGTTCTTTATATCAAAATGGTTTTCAATATGCATATTAAGAGGTCACGACTGATACACGGCGAAAATGAAGGTATCAGAGCTACAGTGTTTTGAGTTGAATAGGTAGTGTGAAGCCACCTAGTGAAGCCACCTAAAATTGATTGACGCGAAATATCCATATACTCGGATTATAAGGTGTATATTTGTTTCAGAGCAAACCAATGTTGGGCTAACCTCTGTGTCCGCAACGTGGAATTGGAACCCCGATTTTAACGTTGTAACTCCATAAACTTACCGCTGTCCCACCGGGCGACATCATAAGACGAATCCAGATTGGGGATATAAAATTTCAGTAACAGAGGTAGCTCTTGTACTTTCTGGCATTGAAAAACAAAGGAATATGGAATTGGGATTCAGAACCACCCAGAAAGATACTGCAACAAGTGGTACTTCGGCCGTGGTAAGCAAAGTGCGTCGTCTGTTAACAGGTGAGAATGAACGAATACAAAGGTCAATAGCAAAAGCCATCCACCTGTTCCAGGCAACAGTACCAAATATAGTGAAGAAAAATCTCAGTCTGGATACAAGACCAAATACAAGGCTTCCAATCAAACATTCCAGTCAATCTTTGCATACTTCAAGCAGTTGTATAAATGAAATGGATATTCATTCTATTCCATACGAAGAAATACTGATCAAATCAAGGGATGCAGCACGTATATATTGTTGTGCAATCGGGCTTCTGAAATGGACACTAGATGGTTTATAGAAAGAAAACAGGGAGTATTGGTGTGCTTTGGACATGACAGCCTTATTATGGAGCTTTTAACAAGGAAAACAATGCTGCATAGCTATTACTAATATGCATGATCTTCAGATAGAACATGATAGGACGTGGCGTTTAGACTGTAATGATGTGGTGAAGCTCCAAAACGTTTTTAATAATAAATTACTTTACCTTTGTGGTTTAAAACTGTGAAATATTGGGGAGTTATTAAACACCTACCATTTAAGCAACAACTTTATTGGCACGGAAACACTCTGTGTAAACATTTTTCAACAGATTCGATGAAAATTGGACACCGATAATTGAAAATATTTTGACATTATTCATCTATTGATATTTGTTGTTAAGCTAATACTACTACATGATGAATTATCTATAGCGAGTAGAGAAATTCTATTTTCGTATAAGCCTTCAGACTTGTGAGTGGGAGGGTGGGGACGCTGATACGTATTAATATTCTATAGTTGTAGTATTATTTTATAACATTTCATTTCAGAAAAAAATCTTAACCAATTTGTCTTAAAATAAAAGTTAGGACTGAGATATAAGGCAAAGCAACTGATGCCTTTGAACGAATATTTTGTAATAAAAACATCTGTAACTTTACAGTGTCTGCAGTTTGTTACTTTCCTGCGGAGCTCCAAGGGCCATACGTTGTTCAGTCACGTGCGTCTCCAGACTTTGGTGGACGGTATGTGACGTACTCTGACGTCATGGTAGAGGTGGATTCAGTAACTCCTTGGGGGCGCTGTCATCGACGGGATGGGAACAATGTCATCCTTTCTGAGAAGTAAAATATTTCAACCTTAATGTTGAAGTTTGCTTTACAAAAACTAACTAAGTAAAAGTCATAAACTACCAAGTTTAGATTGCAAAAACTAACTAAGTAAAAGTCATAAACTACCAAGTTTAGATTGCAAAAACTAACCAAGTAAAAGTCATAAACTGCAAAGTTTAGATTGCAAAAACTAACTAAGTAAAAGTCATAAACTACCAAGTTTAGATTGCAAAAACTAACTAAGTAAAAGTCATAAACTACCAAGTTTAGATTGCAAAAACTAACTAAGTAAAAGTCATAAACTACCAAGTTTAGATTGCAAAAACTAACTAATATTAATAATAATTTTATTTATTTATTATTTATTTATTTTTTATTTATTAATAATAAATTTCGAGTCAAAGTAATGAATATTATTAACAATAAGGTCTTTCGTATAATACCAAATTCTTCAGGCCGGCTAGATACGACAGATTTAGTTGTCCTTGAGACAGTGTATACATTAGCAAATCGCTTGGCAACATCTGGTACGGTCTACACTGAATTAAGTTTGTGAGACGTAAACTTTCGGGAAATATATTTATGTTACAAATACATAAGAATTAGGGTTAATAATTATTTATTCATATTAACACCATTCATTATTTTTTTGTCATTTCCTTGAATTAACCTGCTTATTACGTAGAACTAACAAAATTACCATGTACTTGTATGATAGCTTTTTTCATAGAAATTTTTTTAACATAATTAATGTATAAGGCTAAAAATAGTCACTATTACTTTTGTTATTTATGGTTATAAATTCACGCTTTTCTGTTAAGTACTAGGTGGAAGGAGTGTATGCGATGTTTCCACCTGACGTGGAAAACACCCAACTTTATTCAGATTCACGTAAAAGGTAACTTGTTTTTAAATCTGCTTTCTTCGTCTAAAGTAAGTTTAATTTCGTATTATATTAGATATACGTAGACCTGTCAATAGCAAGTGTAAAAGTACTGAAAAAACTTGGTGAATTGGATCTCGCAAAATATTATATTAGGTATACGTAGACCTGTCAATAGCAAGTGTAAAAGTACTGAAAAACTTGGTGAATTGAACGTCGCAAAATATTATATTAGATATACGTAGACCTGTCAATAGCAAGTGTAAAAAGCCCTTAATATATTCAGTGAGATAGTTTGTTTGTTGTTAAGCAAAGTTACATATTGAGCTTATCTGCGCTGTATCCATCACGGGTATCGAACCTCAGTTATCAGCGTGAAATTCCTCAGAATTACCTCTCATAAAAACTATAATTAAAACTCCTAACGAAGTAGTTTAATATTGTACAAAGTTACAGAAATTTCATTATAACAGTTTCTTACTCAATCGCCTTTCGAATCTTCTGATTCTCGGTAATAAAAGTTATTTTATGAATAATTTAGGGCCTAATTAACTCTGGTCACATAAGTTTATGGCAATATTACTTCCCAATAAGAGACAAAATTAGAAGTACAGTGTGTAAAACAACAACAACAACAATAAATATGTGATGAATGAATCCAAGATAACTGGGCATTTTTAAATAAACAGAATCGATATATTTTATCATTGCTGTGTACAATTCGAAACAACTTGTCCTATTGTGTCCAAAATTTTGGAATGAAACTGGTAAATAAACAACATTGATAAACTAGGCTTCGACTTAGTACAGACGAAACACGATATCTTATGGTAAAACAAAGAATAACGGGAAATTAAATAATTATTTAATGGAAAATATTCAACGACTTCTTTTTTTTGGGGGGAATTTGAAATTTATTTTCTTTCGGAGTGGTCTTAATATATGATAATAAATATAATACATAAAATAATAATAATAATAATAATAATAATAAAAGTGTTTTCAATAGAAGTTTTTTTATTTAGAATTGGACACGTGCCACACCAGCGAGGAAGAAGCTCTTGGGTCTTGCCCTAATGAAGATTTCATATTTAAGGGAGGGTTTACGGAAATCATGTTGTACAGTAAGTATAAATTTTATGTTTCGAAAGTTAACAAAAAGTTATCATTTTTTTCTTTTGAAGCAGTATTGTCCACAACACAAAACAAGATTTCATTATTGAGAAAATACTGTTTAGTTAGAGTGCAGAATCAATGAATCGACAAATAGAGAATTTAAAACTAACAAATATTTCTAAGTAACGCTTTAATTTGTTTGGTATAAAATTACTGACTGTTTTTTACCTAAATAGCATTTTTGAAACAACATAACAATAAACAGTACCAACCAATGAGGATAATTATATTATTCGCTATTTGTCTCAATAAAAATAGGCAACTCAGCCAGACAATTTAGACAATAATTTAAATACAGTTTTATTCTTGGAATGGTTGCGTTTTTCAAATTCACTGATGGTAGTGGTTTGTATTTTGTACATGCTGCCATCTGTTGAATAATTTTAACACTTTTTAAAACAGAGAATAGGTTGACAATATTTGAGATATATACGTCTACGAAAAACAGAAAAAAGAAAGCTGTCAAAACGATTTTTATAAATATAAACGATTTATAAATTTTACCCGTATGATAGTATCATAAATTTAATACTTGTTACAGGAAAACAAGACCACCGAAGTGCGTTTACTATACAAAATGTCTTCTGCCCAATCAACGGAAGGTTTCGTTTTACATTTCGTGGCAACAACGGAAACTACCGTTGTGACCAGCCATACCCTGAGCTTAGCAACTGTCCACATGGGAACGCTTTGGAGTTCCGCTTTCACCAATGTAACTTTCCAGATACCTGTAAGTTAGTTGTTTAGAGAACTGTTTTGACGCTATCTTAGCAACTGTCGTCATGACAACGCTTTAGAATTCCAATTCCATCAATCTTTTCAGATACTTGTAAGTTAGTTGTTTAGAGAACTGATTTGACGCTATCTTAGCAATTGTCGTCATGACAACGCCATAGAGTTCCAATTCCATCAATCTTCCCAGATACTTGTAAGTTAGTTGTTTAGAGAACTGATTTGACGCTATCTTAGCAACTGTCGTCATGACAACGCCTTAGAGTTCCAATTCCATCAATCTTTCCAGATACTTTTAAGCTAATTGTTTATCAAGCATATTTTCTACGAGCTTAGCAACTGTCGTCATAGCAAGATATTGGTGTTCTATTTTCATCAATACACCTTTCCAGGTACATCTAAAACAATTGTTTATAAAACATATTTTCTACGAACTTAGCAACTATCTTCATGGTAACATATTGACGTTCCAACTTTTCATAATGCCTTTTCAGTTATTTGTGTTAAGTATCTAAAGAATAATAATAGTATTGTTTCCATATTGAAAGTAGTATGTGCTTTAGTGAATATTGTTAGTCAATTTGTGTTAAGTATCTAGAGAATAATAATAGGATTGTTTCTATATTGAAAGTATTATGTGCTTTAGTGAATATTGTTAGTTTATTTGTGTTAAGTATCTAGAGAATAATAATAGGATTGTTTCCATATTGAAAGTATTATGTGCTTTAGTGAATATTGTTAGTCAATTTGTGTTAAGTATCTAGAGAATAATAATAGGATTGTTTCTATATTGAAAGTATTATGTGCTTTAGTGAATATTGTTAGTTTATTTGTGTTAAGTATCTAGAGAATAATAATAGGATTGTTTCCATATTGAAAGTAGTATGTGCTTTAGTGAATATTGTTAGTTTATTTGTGTTAAGTATCTAGAGAATAATAATAGGATTGTTTCCATATTGAAAGTAGTATGTGCTTTAGTGAATATTGTTAGTCTATTTGTGTTAAGTATCT